AAATTTAGTTTACAATTTAAATATTACCATTTTAACCACTATATGTATAACAATTCAAATTCAAAATCTTAAAAATACAAACAACAAACAAACAAAACCAATGAGCTAAATCTTTAATGCCACCAACTAAATTTAGTAATTTAGGTGTTGGGTCCAGAGTCATGGCATACATACACATTCATACACACATAAACACAATAAATATATGAATTATTAGTAAATCAGGAGCTAGAAAGATGGCTTACTGGTTCCAAGCACTTGCTGCTATTGCAGGAGACCCAACTATGGCACACATACAGACAAACAGGTACACATGCACGCACATACACACACACACACACACACACACACACACACAAATAAAAATATGTAAATAAAGTGACCTATTTTTTTTTAAGGACCAAAGGAGGCCAGCTTGGTAGAGCAGAAATTCTCAGACCATGATTCAAGGTAAGGCTGAAGAATTATCACTGTTAAGAAATTCTCTTTTTACTCTCAACACAGTGCAAGTCACAAAAGAGCTAGGGAAAGGGGGAGAGTGACAATCAGTATGTTCATAATAAATCAATGCTCTCAGGATGGATAAAGGATTAAAAATAAGTCAAAAGAAGACAAAAAACAAAGGCTATATACAAGTTTCAGGCAAAGTGATAGTGTGCAAACTAAAGCAGTGCATGGAAGTAGGGAAAACATATTCAAGAGCCACTATAAGAAAAATTAGTACTGGGCTGGAGAGATGGCTCAGGGGTTAAGAGCACTGCCCCTTCTTCCAGGGGTCCTGAGTTCAATTCCCAGCAACCACATGGTGGCTCCCAACCATCTGTAATGTAGTCTAGTACCCTCTTCTGGACTGCAGGGATACATGCAAGCAGAACACTGTATACATAATAAATAAATAAATTTAAAGAAAAAAGAAAAATTAGTACCTGTTGACACATTTGACATTATCAAGGAGAAGATGTAAGGATTGTTACACATTTTCAAGATTTTATATGTACAATGTCATCACTCACTGGAGGAAAAAAAAAAAAAAAAACAGAAACAGAAGCGTCCAGGCCCAGCACAGGAAGATTTGGCAGACCTTGCAGAGTCCCCATTGAGGGCCCTACCTTGCCTGGGGAGTGGTGGGTGGATGGAGTGGGGGGTAGATTGGGGGTGGGAGAGGAGGGATGGGGGTGAGGGGAGGGAGAGGGAGAAGGGACTTAAATGTGAAACAAACTTGTTCCCTAACTTGAAAAAAACAAAAACAAAAAAACAGAAACAAAGAAAAGAGAAGCAGTGGTTTGGGGGTAGGAAAGGAAAGAAAAGAAATGTGTCTACTTTTGGATATAACAGGAAGGGCATCAAACAGATGGCAAGATCTACAGCTCAAGGGAGACAGAAAACGCACGTGCCCTTAGGAAAGCTCACAGTGTTGTCCTAGAAAAGGAGCTAACAGCATAGTAATCCCAAAATGCAAGAAGATCATTAGACTTAGACTCTGACCATCTGGATTTAGTTAAAAAGCCAAGAGAGAACACAGCTATGTTTTGTCAGCTAAAACAAAAACTGCTAAGTACCATGGGGAGACAGAAAACTTTCCTATCTTGATTCAGTAATATACTAATTATGTAACAAATTACAGCATTTCAAAGTTTAACCTGGCTGGAAAATACTGTTAGAAATGTTCTAAATCTGCACTGTCCTAAAAGGCAGGCACCAGCACAAGTGACCACTGAGCACTGACATGAGGCTGGTGCAACTGAGTGAATTTTATCTAAATTCATAACCTAAACAGCCACAAGGTTAGAGGTTATGTGGTTAGAACCAAGAGGGTTAGAGCCTCCTTGTGATCCTTAACTATATTTTGAATTAACTAGGAGGAGGGGACCTGAGACCTAGAGGTGGGGATGGAATACTGGGAGTAGAAGAAATTTTCATTCATATCTGCTTATTATATAGTTGGAAATTTCATTTCAAGACTATACAGTATAAGGCTGGAGAGATTATGGCTCAGGCAGACCTCTGTTTTACAGCCTTTGTTATAAACCCCAAAGGTGGCAGTGCTACAGACTGACTACCAGTCACCATCCACCCAACCTCATCACAGCCCTTGGAGTAACTCAGTGTTCAATGTCTACCAACAGCGTTAGTTTCCACCCAACACTCAAGAAATTAAGTGCTCCCATGAATGTATTCCTTCCTCTATCCCAAATGATCATTCTGAAATTTATGGTTCCAAACTCATTATGCCAAGGTTAGTTTCCATTCTTACAGGACATAATAAGTACAATCCAGCAAACTTGTATCCATCTCCACAAAAAAGCCCTATCAACCACCAATCCAAAGGCCTTCATCAAACTCTCTTTTTTGTCATATACTTCAACATGACATTCAACAAGGAATGCATCCACTAAAGAGTAATAGAGGAAAAGATCTTTGTTTTGATGTCTAATATGTAATCAAATAAGGTATAGCCAAATCATTCCAAAACTTTATAATGGCAGTATCCGAGAAGCTAACTACAGTTAAACATCTAAGAGCAAATTCTGACTCCATCAGAATTATCTTAGCTCTGCTGGTCAATTAGTTTCATTCCCTTCATCTAGAACAGTGGTTCTCAACCTTCCTAATGTTGCAACCCTTTAACAGTTTCTCATGTTGTGGTGACCCCCCAATCACAAAATTATTGTTGCTGCTTCATAACTGTAATTTTGCTGTTATGAACCATAATGTAAAAATCTGTGTTTTCCAATGGCCTTAGGTGACCCCCGCTGAAAGGGTCATTCAACCCCCCAAAGAGGTCATGACTCACAAGTTGAGAACTGCTAATCCATAAATGGTGGGGGGAGTAAACTTACAAAGTTGCTAGAAGGAAGAGAGAATCATGAGACTCACCAGGCATCATGCACATAGTAAGCAAATAAATGTACCTTTCACTGTGGTGCTAGACAGAATTTTATCTTCTAAATTTACCCTTACCTACAAGCAACTAGCTTAACATTGACTGCTCCACCAAGTGAGGACACTACACAGAGGAAAAATCATGCTATTGTTTGAAGAGAAGAAATTGGTTGCTTTAGACAAATTATGATGAGCTGTGCAGGTAACACTGTCTGAAGTGAGCTTCAAAACTTCACAACTTCAACTTCCAAACACTTCACAATCAAATCAGTAAGTAAATATGCACTCTAGCACTTAAATTAAGCTTGGAAAGATTCTCATTTACAAAAAAGAAATAATAATTAACACACATGACATAGAATGAAGAGAAACGGGTGTGGAAAATTGCCACAGCCATATGGAATGCATAAAATATCATATTTGCCCTTCCTTAGCAATCCTAAGGCAGACATCTCCAGTTAAAACAAGACGATGGAAGCAAAGAACAGCTATCATTTCATTGCTTTATTCTGAGTTGTACATAGTGGGTGGTGATACTTAGTATACATTAAATAATGATAAACACATCAGTGTATAAATTCTCTGTATTAGAGAAGAAATGGACACAGCCAGTTATCCCTAAAAAGGAACCTCAAAACCACAAATCAGGAACGAATGTGGTTCCTTCTACAGGTCCAGGAAGGAATTTAGAAACACTGAAGTTTTGAAGTAGTGAGATTTCAGTACCAGGCTGTAATCCCTGCACTCTACTCTGCCTAGCCCCCCCAAAAAAACATTTGCAATTTGGGAAAAGAACAGTTCATGAGTAAACCGTTTTCATTTGCTTCAACAAGACACTAAATCAGTGCTTTTTAATCTTGCTGGATATTATACATGTCTTTTAAGAATCTGATAAAAGAATGCATTTGACCAAAACACATGCATAGAAATTTTGTACATAATTTCTGGGGTGGGGAAAAAAAAAACTGAAAATCACTGATACCTGGACTAAGGCCCACAGCATTAAGGAAACAAAATAGCTCAGGCAGAGCCTTTAATTCAGAAAATACCAGTGAAAATAATGCTGTTTTCCTATATACTAAATGTTAGACTTTGTAGTTAGGAGACATCGTTGATCATGTTGAACAAGAAAAACAAGAAAAACAAAAACTAAAAGCAAATGAAAACAGAACAACCAGAAGAAAAGTGTAACAATCGCAGTAGCTGCTCTGAAAGAGCAGCAATGAAATGGCCAATTCCTGCAGCCTCCAGGGAACTGACCAACGTCATCAATCTGGTGCACCTTTCTTTGCCAACGAAGTTAATTAAATGGCAAATGTGAACACACCCTCGCAGTCATGAAAGAAACACGTTGAGGAAAAGCCCTGCAATTCTTTCATTCTTTTTTTTTTTCTGATCAGATAAGAACCAAGTAAGAATAGTTCAGGAAAAAATAAAGGAGGGAGGAACAAAATCCTGAAAGGGCGGCTTAAAGAGTCTGCAGGAAGTGTAAAGTACAAACTTTTTTGAGATCAGAGGGCTCAAGAGGAAGATAAGAACAAAGCCAAGGAAGCAATAACAGGGAAGAAAGTCTAGAATCTAAACACTTAAATTTCCTTTCCTAGACACGTAAAGAGTAGTAACTTGGCAATGAGGAACGCACCAGAAGGCAGGGCCACAATTGCCTCCTCCAAACTCCAGCATTCCTCGGACGCCCTCACCAGCACTCGGGCTTGGGACGCTTCAGGCAGGGCGCCTCCCTGCACCAGCGTCAGGCTACTTCTCCGTGGGACTGTCGCTACCTCCCTTCCTCTCGCAGCGGGAGAGAGGAAGGGGGGATGCACGGAAAAGTGAAGAGGAAGGCGGCCCACTGGGACAGAGTCCAGAAAGGCGCGGACTCTGCCACCTCTTCCCACCCACAGCCTGCAGAGCCGAGCGCGTGCCGCCCCAAGAGGCCGGTGCTGCCCACTTCACTCCAGGACGCAGTCAGAGGGGCAGGAGGGACCAAGGGGCGGACTTGGCTGCTCCCAGGGGTGGAAGTGCACGGGAGCAAGTTTGCAGCGAGAAGCGGAGGCGACGCGTCCGCCGTCGAGCACGCCGCTCCAACCCCATCCTTCTCGCCGCGGCTCCGCCCTCACCTGTCTGTCAGCGGGGAAGCCGGCAGCGCTCGGTCGCGGGCTCTCCCCGTCGCAGCACTCGGGAATCGCGTCAACCCGGGACAGAAGTGAGCGGAAGCACCACCCGGAGCTTTTCCTTCGTCCCCTCCTCCACGCACCTCGGCCGCTCCGGGGCGGGGAACAGCTGCAGCTGTCACAGATTCCGGGCGACCAACCGCCGAGGATACTTGCACCCGCGACCTATCAACCCGGCCTCCGGCGCCTGCAGCACAGCCTCGGAGCCGGAAGTGAGAAGACCGGAAGTGCGGGGTCTTGGGCCCTGGACAGCCTCTCTCTCTCTCCAGAAGCTGAGCCGGGCGCCGCCACGTCTCTATGGTGCGCGCGCGTCTCTCAAGGGGCCGGGTCGTCCCGGCTCCGCCCCGGGCTGCGGCCCGGGCGACTACATCCGGGAATCCGCACGGGCCGTTGCCGGGGTAACCGGACCGCGGCGTGGAGTAGAGCGGTTACCTCTCTGGTTGGTGGAATGCAGCCCTTGGGCCAGGTGTCTCCTATCCTTTTCCCACACTGACACCCGGTGCCCGGAGGGTGGAGACGGCCGTATCTCACCACCACACTACTACCGAGGAGCCGAAGCTTTGTCAGCCACCGGAGAGAACGGAGAAGGTTATTCCCGCCGCGCGCGCGGGCTGGACGCGGAAGGGATGGAGCGGAGAGATCAGCAGCAAGCCCAAGACAGCACGGGAGCTTGACCCTCGCTTTCTCCGGTCTCTCCATTCCCCCCGCGACCTCCGCATTCATGCCAGTCCCTGCAAAAAGAACCGCATCCATGTGCACGCGATGGTAGCTTTGTTTCTGTGCTCTCCCGCCTTGCTCGCCCTCTGACAGTGGGCCCATAGTACTTTTCTTTGCTGGTCCTCTTTTAACGACAGCCGTGTTCTTCTTTTCTGCTTACCCTCATCACTTCTTAAGTAGATCGCCTCTGTCCTGTCCACAGAAACCGCTCAACAATCCATTCTCCCAGAGCGCTTCTTGGTCGTTTCCTACGTGTCTTTGGGGGTACTTGCAAGAATCCTCCCTCCCCAAAACAAACTGGAAAGAAAGTGACTCTCAGCAGTGCTAGATAGGAATGTGCCAGAGCACATTTCCAAAGAGTTTCAGTAACCCTGAATCGTGTCTTCCCCAGGCTCCTTAAAAGAGACACTATAGCCAGGCAGTGGTGGTACATGCCTTTAATCCCAGCACTCGGGAGTTCGAGGCCAGCCTAGTCTAAAGGGTGAGTCCCAGGACAGGCTCCAAAAGCTATGAGAAACCCTGTCTGGAAAACCAAACAAACAAAAAAGCACTATGTACATTTACATAATACACTACATACACATCAAACGTAAGTAACGGTATAGTCTTAGATCTCTAGCGTATCAACTCTTACAAAAACAGTGCTGACATCCCCAAACATGAAAAAACGTAAATCCTGTATAAATTGCCTTTCTATTCTAAAACGGAGAGAGAGAGAGAGAGAGAGAGAGAGAGAGAGAGAGAGTGTTTATATACCAATTTACTCAAACCATAACTATTCAGCAGTATGCTGAACTTTCTTACTCAAAGCCATCCTCCTAGTTGGAATCCATTAGTCTTCTCCATTGTTAGAAAGGGGCCCCAATCAAGCATGACTCCTGCTCTCATTGCATAGGAACTGAACAGGACTTGTGGCTAGGAGCAAATGTTATCTACAGGGCAGGAAGGGTAACTTGAAAATCATGTCTCATAATAACCAGTTATGTGTGAATCGTGTGGACAATTAGTACTTAACAGAACTGGGTGTAGTCTCCTTAAGGATCCCTGAAGGTGTCTCTTTGAGTTTGGGGATACTTGGCTTCTTGTATTGGTTTCTTTCTCCTTTAGTGGTATAGTTTCTTTGTGAACTGCTAATAGTTTTTATGTTGATTCTGGTAAACTTGGAACTAATGCTCATTTCTCCTTGATAAAGATGCTGTTAGTTATTCTACGTAGTCATCAATCCAGTGAGGTTCTGGTATTCTGCATGATTAGTCCTTATCCATCATATTGTGGTGAGCTAGAATATGATGCGATTAATTCATCTTTCCATGATTTCTACTGCCCCAAGGAAATACAAATGTGGGGCCACCCACCCTAAGGAAACACTGGAATCTGCTTCAATTAGTGATTTAAAAAAATTGCAAAAACAACAACAACAAAATTGCTGTACATAATTCAGGCCAAAGAAAGCAGAAGTCTGTGCCCTGTGTGTGGATTTAGGAAAATTTATTCACTTTTTTTCTTTCTTTTTGTGTTAAGATCAATTTTTTGATACCAACTGAAAAACTTTTAAACCTATGTCTACTGAAATGGAGATTTATTTTCCTTTCTTGTCTTCTTTCTCTCCTTTTTTCTTCCTCCTCCTTTTGCCCCAAAGAATTCTGCTTACCCATTCTTCTTAGGAAGAATAGAAGACTCTTACTCCTCCCTCTCAACTGATCAGAGAGATAAGAGGATTTGCTGTCACATACTGTCAAGGCACTGAGATAATGTATTCACCTTTTGCAAAGTTAGATAATCTCTATTCTCTGGGCTTGTGGAGAACTTTAGTAGACTGCCTGTCTTTCATTTTGTAATCAGGAAGGAAAGAAAGAGAACAGATTGGTGGCTAATGCTTTTACTCCATTTTGCATTAAATAAGTGTCTGTCAGATTTAGATTTTGAATGTTGCATACTGCTTATCAATGGTATTTTCTCAAGAGAATAAATTGCTACATCCAGATCTTGTCTATGAGAATTCTGATAATGTGTCCAAAATTCCAGCACTTTTCATCAGTAGCTCTCCCTTCGTGGAGAGATATGTAGGTTACTGATCACACAGTGTAATTTTCAGGAAATAAACGCTTTAATAGAGGGTGTTGGTTAATAGGACATATTGAGAAGATCACAAATGGATGGGGTAAAATGTAAGGTGTTAGACCTTTTAGAAGCTTTCTAATAGGTACGTGTACAACTTCCCTCAGTTATGTATAAAGTACAGCAGATGAGCTTAGTGGTATAAAGGCTTTACCCACAGAAGTCATTTGTTCATTTATTATTTCTTTATATCATTTGTTGTTTTTGGTAACAGGGAACCTTCTCATGTGACTGTTACTTTTCCACTCTAATCCTCTGATTGGCCTTGGTGGCATTCTGAGTAAATTTGACCTCCCTACCCTGGCAATGTACCGAGGTCTGGTCCTGTAATGTCACCTCTCCAACCAAATCAGTACTCATCTTGAGTAAGACTGCTCATTCAGCTAACTGCCATCCACCTCCATATAGGCATGAGGGTGTGATTACACAACTGCTTAGTATGTTCCTAGCCCTGTCACTTCTGGCATGTATATTTTCACTCTCTAGTCTTCACAGAAATGTCTTCACACCTCACTCCTGCTCATCCTTGACACTGAGCTCAGCTCTTGCTTCCATTAGAAATTCATTTTTGTTCTCCCTGTAAGAGTTCGTTTTTTGCCCCCTCTTTACCACAGCTCTTAATTTGAACCTCTGTTGGTCTGCCTTATACTGCTGACTCTTCATACCTGTTTTCCCTAGTCCAAAAAAAGACCACCAGGAAGTTAGCACTATTTAGGTTATAGAACTATGTTATGTGTTGCACACCTGGAGAGTTCCAGAAGACCAGCAACTGCTGCTATTTAGAGTTGTGGTATGGGCAGGTTTAAGTGAACATGGTTACTGTCTAGTAGTGAAAGACTAAAGTGGGTGCTTTTTCAGTTTGGGAAGTGATTGGGTCTGCAGAGAGCTGGCAACTAGTGATAAGAAGTGAACAGAATAATTTACTACTCCCCAGATTTTCTGCTTGGGAAGACTGCCGGTGTTTGTCCCCAGTGCTTCAGTTTTCTTTTACAATCTGGTACAAATAGAACATTAGAATTTTTTTAAAAAGAAGGGAGGAAGTGAGGGTGGGGAGGCTGAACTTACAATTCATTTACTAGCAGGAACACTCAACACTTCTGGCTAGAGTCTTTTTATTCATTTTTTTTCACTTATTTGACAATTGTTTTTAGAATCTGTGGTTTGCCTGCTATAATTTTCAGTAATTTCTGGAATGTAGACTCATATTTTGCTTTTTTTAACTTATGTTAGAGAATTTTCTTCATGCCATTAATATGATCCTTCCATCTGGGAATGATGGTTTATACCTGTAACCTCAACTATGGAGAAGGCCAAAACTATGCATTTGAGGCTAGCCTAGGCTACACAGAATAGGACTCTGTCTCAAAAAATATCATTCAGTGGTACAGTAGTATTTTAATATAGAGATATATATTAATTTATTTAATTAACCTTTTGTGGTACATTTAGGTTTTTTTTTTTTCTTTTTGGGGGGAGGGTTTTGAGACAGGGTTTCTCTGTGGCTTTAGAGGCTGTCCTGGAGCTAGCTCTTGTAGACCAGGCTAGTCTTGAACTCACAGAGATCCACCTGCCTCTGCCTCCCAAGGGCTGGGATTAAAGGCATGTGCCACCAACACCCGGCTGACATTTAGATTTTTTTACAGTTCTGTAATATATAACCCAAAGAATACTATGTACCATGGAGAATCTAGGCTGACCTCCAATGACTTCCACCTTGTATTATTCCCTTCCTGTAAACACAATGAGATAACACTCAGATAATCATATAATATTACCTGTGAAGGGATTTTTCAGATGTAGTTAAGGTAGCTAATCAGTTGGCTTTTCAGAACTAACAGGGAGCTAATCTGGGTGAGTCTAACTATCGTGACCACATGAATCCTTTAAAAGCAGTTAGGAGAGGAAGTCAAAAAAAGTGAGTGTTCAAGAACCTGGACAGGAGGGACATTCTCTGTTGTGAAATGAAGAAGACTGGAGACAAAGACATGATGTAGAGAGTGATCCCTGGCAACAGCCACCAAATGCCAGGGGCTTCAGTCCCACACAGCAAGGAATTAAACTCTGAATGACCTCAGCAAGACTCAGAGCCTCTCAACAAGAGACTGGCATCCTGCTCTCTGCTTGGTGAGACCCTAAAGACCCAATCAAGTTTCCTGGACTTCTCACGTATAGACATATGAGATAATGAATGGTTGCTGGGCTGGGAAGAGCTTGATCAAGAGTACTTACTGCCTTTCTGAGAGGACCTTGTAGACCTCTTGTAAAGGCTCAGCTCCCAGTACCCACATGGCTCACAACTACCTGAAACTCCAATTCCAGACAGAGTTATAGGTACACACTTTCTATATTAAGAAGTTATAGATATTTTGAAGTTTTTCCTCTCATTGCTCATTTGCCTCCCATAAGCTTTGTGCCAATTTATGCGCCTCCTAACAACCGAGGTAACAATGCCCTGGAAAACAATAGATGCTACCATACTCATAGGCAAAAACAAAAATATAAAAGAGGACTCATTATTATTATCACCTTTAGGGAAAGGCCTATTACTTAGTTTAACTGTTGACATCGAGAAAGTATTCTCTAACTCATAGGACAGAATTTTTCAGCCTGATGTGTTTAAAGGGGAAATGAATACTGAGGATATTAAAAGGATGAAAATTTTCAGTAAATATTAGTTACTGCCATTACTCCTTGCAAAAACCAACACCAGCCATCATTCCATGGGAGGCTGGATAACATTCATTTTATTAACTAGGCAGTATTAATGATTATAGTATTCTAGGGTAAAGGTCTGGTTTACACGACATATTTGATAGTTTTAAGAATTTGTTGTATTTTGCTATGAAAATTTGAGTTGTTTGTTGCAGGAAATGATACTGTTGACTCAAGAAGGAAGTTTAATATCTTCCTAAATAAAGATACTGATCAAGATGACCTGGTCTCTATGATTGCGTATATGGGCAGTGTTCATTATCTGAAGTGCTTCACACAAGTATTTCAGAGTGTGCGTTTTTTATTTGGAATAGTTGCATAGATTCTACAAGTTGAGCATCTTTAATCCATAAATCCTCTGGATTTAAGATTTGGAGATTAGAGATTTTCAATCTATTTTTTATTATTATTGCTTTAATTGGGATGAACAAAGAGGAGTTCAAGTTATCATTTCTGTACCCTTATTTTTTTTTGACAAACAAAATAAGGTGGGAGAGCGGGAGATGTTTTTCTGAATGGTAATATCAAACTAGTAAAAGCAAAATATTTACATAAATGATAGTCAACAGATTTGTAAGAAAATATGCAAGGAGTCCCCATATAAATAAACAGTGTTCTAGGATTGAGGGGGACTCAGTCAAATGGTCAAATCCTGTTCACTTAGAAAGCCTAGCTTTCCCTAACAGTCAGCTAAAGATGTTATGGTTGTTACAGCATTCATAATGGTCCATTCTCCCATAGAAGCCTGATATTGCCTGTAAAATGTGTAGTTAGGGCTGGATAAGTGGATCAGTGGTTAAGAACACTTGTTCTTACATAGGACCCAGGTTTGGTCCCCCAGAACCCACATGGCAGGTAACCATCTGTAACCACAGTTCGAGGGGATCCAGTGCCTCTTCTGACCTCTGAAGACTCTTGGGCCAATGCAGCGCGCGCACACACACACACACACACACAAATAAATAAATAAATAAATAAATAAAATACATTTTCTAAGTTATTGTAAGCTCTTGTAGGTACTATAGGTGTTGGCTTGTTTTGGTGCCAAGAACAGAGAATGTAAATTATGGTCAGAGAAGGCCTTATCAATGTGATTCAAGTATTCTCTAATATAAAGAATAGAATACAGACTGGATATTAAAAAGACTAGATTCTGAACTGCATTCCAGTCACATAACTGTGTGACCATTAAAACCCAGATTTACCTCCCTCCTTAGTTTCCTGGAATGTAGGCAACAAAGCAATGTGAAATCCAAAGCCATGATGATGTTATTATTAAGACCTTTTTTTTTTTTTTGCAACAGCAATTTAGAAAAAACAAAAAGCAATTCTATGCTATAATTCCTGTTATTTAAAATTACTCCTTTAAGTTGGAAAACAGGGCAGAAAAGTTTTAATAACTTTTATGTGAGTTGAGCACATCTGTAATCCCAAGATTCAAGAAGCTGAGATACAAAGATTATGTGATGTGTTCAAGGCCAGTCTAGACGCTGTAGAAAGATTCTGTCTCAAAAAAAAAAAAAGCATAAAGATGTATCTTGTCTAGGAAACCTGGAGACACAGCAGGAAGACTAGAGTGCCCCCATAATAACTTAACACATTAGCTTCTTGTCTTGGCCACAGCATGACCAGAATAGATTCTGGCGAGAGAGCTGGTGTATGGAAGGTGATTGTGAGCCTGTCTGGAGTTGTTGTGGAATATTACTTTAACTATATAAAGATGTGTTACATTAGTTTACATTTAATCCCAGCACTCGGGAGGCAGAGGCAGGCAGATCTCTGTGAGTTCGAGGCCAGCCTGGTCTCCAGAGCGAGTGCCAGGATAGGCTCCAAAGCTACACAGAGAAACCCTGTCTCAAAAAACCAAAAAAAAAAAAAATTACTTTAACTATGTAAAGGTGTGTTGCATTTGTTTATGTTGTAGTTGTTTAACTAGGTAAAGATGTGTTACATTTGCTTATGTTGGACAATACATAAAGTTGTGCTGCATTTCTTTAACTATGTAAAGATGTGTTACATTTGTTTTCCCTTGCCTGCCTAATAAAACATTGAACAGCCAATAGCTAGGCTGTAGAGGGATAGTCAGGGCTGAGAGAATAAGTAGGAGGAGGAATCTGAGAGAGAGAGAGAGAGAGAGAGAGAGAGAGAGAGAGAGAAGAGAAGAGACTGTGAGGTGGAAAAAGAGAGATGCCCCCAGGCAGCCTGGCAGACACAGAGTAGGACATATAGAATGAAAGAAAGATTAAAAAGCCCCAAGGCAAAACATAGATTAAGAGAAACAGTTTAAAATTAGTTATAAGAGCTAGTGGAACAAGCATAAGCTAAGGCTGAGCATTCATAACTAATACTAAGTCTCCATGTCATGATTTGGGGGCTGGCAGTCTGAGAATGTCAGCTACATGGAGCCCTATGGCTGTTCTCACTACTGCTGCTTAAAAAGAATGAGGCTTAGCAAGGAGGAGGGCTCATCCACTAAGAGTGCTTGCTCAAGCATGAAGGCCTGTGTTAGAGCCCTAGCACCTACCTAATAAGCCATGCAATAGCTTCTTGCACCTGTAACTTCAGTGCTGTGGGTGGGGGTGAGTGTGGAGATAGATGGCCAGCCTTGATAAAAACAGTGAGCTCCAGGTTCAATGAGAGACTTTGTCTCAAAGAAAGTGGGTAAAGAAGAGGACACCCAATGTCATCCAGACACACACACACACACACACACACACACACACACACACAAGAGAGAGAGAGAGACACACTTTTTCCAATCTATTTTTAAGTGTGATTCAAGTCCCCAAATTCGAAATTTACAGATGAAAAGATTTAAAAGAGAAGACCATGATTATGAAATCATCAGCCCATACTCATTGGGCACTTTCTTTAGCAAGTTCTGTGGAGGTTGCATACTGTTAGACCTAGCCAGCACTTGAAAGGCTGAAGCAAGAGGATAGCAAGCCCAAGGCCAGCTTGGACTATGTGCTAGGGTGTGTGTGTGTTTTAGAAGCTATGCTAAGTGCCTCCTGCACTCTCTCTGAGTCTGTAGCAACTCTATGAAGTCAGTCCTGCAGTTTCTCCCCTTTTACAGATAAAAGAGCTGAGGCTTTTAAGTTAAGTGACCCAGGGCCACTAAGTACTAAGTGGCAGTCACATAGCCCATGTCTTTATACCATGGCAAGTCACTTTTCCACGCATAGACAGTAGAGGGCCTGAGAGGGTAAGAACCATGGTCACTCTACTTCCTATTTTAGTCTAGATAATATTCTACATTATATCCTCTTAATAATGTGTTTATTATGATGCATGCTCTCAAGTAACACTGACGTGTGTATAGTCAGTTGCTGTACTAAACTGATGTAAAAATTTCTGGACTTTTTAAGGTTTGAGGGAGAAGAAGGTTTAGATTTTTTTAAAGGAAGTTTTGATCACTTGAGTATTTCAGTGAAGCAGACTACTATGAAGAAGACTGTCTCCCATGTGCTATTAAAAATTGAGCTGATGACTACTGTCTGTCTGTCCTTTTAGAAGAGTCAGGCTGCAGTCTGTGATCTCATGTAGAAAATAGCCACCGACGCTCTATCCAGGATCATTTTTAGTTCTTTAATTTTGGCAAGCACACATTTGCAAAGCAGATTAAATTTGTACAATTTATTTTAGAAGTGTATATTACAAAGCACAGGGAGGCTCCGAACCCACAAGGCAGATCTGGAGAGCTTTTAATGGTGAGTCATTCAAAAGGTAAGCATTCAACTGGAGAACTTGGTTGCTGCCTTTTCAGAAACTTCTTCCCATCTGTTTCATTGTCATGCAGGGTGTCATGGTATTTTCTTGGTATCCACTTGACAGATTGTTAAAATGTTACCTTTTTTCCCTGTTATTTTCAAGAAAGAAGTAGAAAGAGTATGCCACTTCTTTTTTCTGTAACTTTGAAGAAACTAGAATTTAACAGGTGATGTTTAGCATGGTCACTTTTGAAAGTTTGTTTCTTCTTATCTCCAAAGCCCTCAGTGGAGAATTAGTAGGTTGAAGCATGCCTGGATAAAATGGATCGTCTTAAATGATTGCTGCTCCAAAAATACATCAGCAGGACTGGGCAGGTTTGACATAATGAGACTCCTATTTTAGCTTGACTTCTGAGACTCTGAAGAACTATAAATTGAGCCACACAAGACCCTAGGAAGGAGGCTCCTCCTTTAGTCGCACATAGAATTTTCTTCGGAGTCTAAAAAGATATGTCTAGTTGTCAGTTTCCTAAAGAATTAGACTGTTGATACTTACCAACTTTAATACAGGAAAGGATAGATAGAAAACCCTGGTCCATATTATACTGAAGACCAAATTTGGTTACAGAAACTTGCTCAGAGACGAGGCCTGCACAAGCGGCAGCTGCGATGGCAGAGGCTCCTGAGGATGCCGTGACTCAGCCAGTAACAGTGAAGAAAAAGAAGAGTTTGTCCATTGAGGAAAAGATCGACATCATAAATGCAGTGGAAAGTGGCAAGAAAAAGGCAGAGATCGCAGCTGAATATGGAATAAAGAAAAATTCATTGTCTTCCATTATGAAAAACAAAGACAAAGTTCTGGAAGCCTTTGAGTCCTTGAGATTTGATCCGAAGAGAAAAAGACTGAGAACGGCGTTTTATACGGATCTGGAAGAGGCATTAATGAGGTGGTATCGGATTGCCCAGTGTCTAAATGTTCCAGTTAATGGTCCAATGTTGCGTCTAAAAGCTAATGATTTTGCCCAGAAGCTGGGACACAATGACTTTAAGTGCAGCAATGGTTGGCTGGACCGTTTTAAGTCCAGGTACGGCTTAGTATTCAGAGCTCAACCTGTAGAAGCCACGGGAATATCTATAGACCCTTCCACTGTCTGGTACCAAAATGTGCTTCCTTATTATTTAAATGATTATCATCCCCGAAATGTTTTCAATGTAAAAGAGACTGGGCTGCTTTATCGCATGTTACCTACAAATACATTTGCATTTAGAGGAGAGACTTGTTCGATTGGAAAGTTGTGCAAAGACAGGATAACACTGGCAGTTGGTACAAATATGGATGGCTCCGAGAAGCTTCCTTTGCTTATTATTGGGAAAAACCGAACTCCGCGTTGTTTCAAAGGTGTAAAATCATTGCCTGTGTATTATGAAGCTAACAGAACGGCTTGGATGACTGCATCCATATTTGAGCAGTGGATGCAGAAGCTTGATGAGAAATTTCAAGCCCAGCAACGAAGAGTGGTGTTTTTTGTTGATTCTTTTCCAGCACATCCAGAAGTGAAAAACCTAAAGTCTATTGAGTTAGCATTCTTCCCATCCTGCTTGTCTTCCGGATTTGTAGCTATGAAGCAGGGTGTTATTAAAAGCCTTAAAATCAAATATCGACATTGTCTTATCAAGAAATTTTTAAGTTCTGTTGAAAGTAGCAAAGAATTTACATTTTCGCTGCTAGATGCGGTTGATACATTGCATCTCTGCTGGAGATCTGTAACCCCAGAGACCATTGTTAAAAGCTATGAAGAAGCGGGGTTCACGTCTCCAAAGGGGGAAAATGACATGCCACATGCCGAGAGTGACGCTGCTCTTGACCTGGCTGCCCATGCTCTGGGGGCAGGAGTCGAGCTTCCCGAAGGCTTGTCCATAGAGGAATACGCTGCCCTGGATGAGGATCTAGAGACCTGCGAAGCCACCCCAAATGATGATGCGGAGTGGACCAAAGAAAGTAAACCAGATGAAACTGGATTCTATGCTTCTGATGAAGAGGAGGATGACAGTGGAGCTCCAGAAGTGGACCCGCCCCTGCCATCCAAGAATGAAGCAATCGAAGCCGTAGGCACACTTAAAAGATTTCTTAGAAGTCACGATATGAATGATGAACTTCACAATTCTTTAGCAGACCTTGAAAACTTTATTAACGCTTTGTCACCTAAATAATCGTGGATTGCACATCTACGGAGCAGGAATTTTTCCCCGTGTATCTTATTACTAAGGAACATAAAAGGAAAGTATCAATTAAATAAGAAAAGAGAAAACCTAATAATCCTTGGCTTAATTGCAACAACCTTTGATCTGAATAGCTCCTTGGTAAAGAATGACTAAGTAAAACGGCAAAACTCCGTTTAGCAGGTTGGGGGCGAATAAAACTGTGTTCAGAGGCTTTGTGCTTGAAAGGGACACAGGGTGTGTGTGAAAGAACTCATCATCTGGCTAACGCACATGCATGAAATTGCTGGTTTCCATTTTCTTTGTTTTCAAGTTCAGATCATGTTCTAGAATATCTTAGTTTATATAGTCTAAAAAACAAATATAGCTTATGTATTTTTATATAGGATATATATGTATGTATGTATATCCTAACGAGTTCTTTTATTCTTTTTTTTTTTTTTTGGTTGGTTGGTTGGTTTTTGAAGACAGAGTCTCACTGTGTAGTCTAAGCTGACCACAAACTCATGGCAATGCTCCTGCCTCAGCTTCTCAAATGCTGGGATTGTAGATATAAGCCAACATGCTCAGTTCTAATTAAAGTTTTGAGTATCAAAAGTGGTGTAAAATCATACTACATTAGTTAATCTTCCTGACTGAAAAATATTCTGGAAGTGTGTTCTAATCTGCCTGTGCACCAAGACGATGCACAATGTAACTCTTCCTGCTTTCAACTTACTTGTCAAAGTAAGTCAAAGAAAAAGCAATTGCTCTGTAGGGCTTCCTGTCACCTATCATGGGCCCTTCTGTTGTACATAAGTGTGTGCTTGTTTAGTGGGAAAACACTTGAAGGAAACACTCACTAAATTCATATTTATATTTGAATAGGGTTAACTCTTGAGCCAATTGAAGATGCACATAGAGTTACCAAAAAGAAAATTATGGTGCTTGTCTTTTTTTAATTACAACAACTCAGCTTTTAATCTAATTATGTTCTTGATTTTACTGAACTTTGTTTTCAGCACATTGTGATATTTAGTTGTCTTTCTCTGATTTTTCTTCTCTGAAATCTGTATTAAAATTGTTAGAGAAAGTTTTGTTTATATATTTTATTAAAAGTACTGTAGGAAATTACCTAATCACCATCTAAAAGTAGTCATTGAGCAAAATTTTAATAATGTGTCAGTTTTTCCTACTGTTCAGTTTTAAGTAGCATGCTTATTTAACTCATTATACCTAATTCAGTTTCTCTTGTGAAGTATTTTATAAAAATACAAAGCACAAGGATTTGTTGTGAACTATTAATCTGCCAAAAGATTATACACTAAGAAGAAAATGATTTAGCAAAGCATTTTTATTTTCTATTGCTGATTTGCTCTGCTCTGAGGATTTAGTAATATTTGAGCCTTAAAATGTATTAATATTTTAGAGGTTTCTTTTATTACTAAACATGGACTATTTAAATCAAAAGCATTTTGTTATTTGATTTGTAATTTTAATTTGGCTCAATCATGGACTGAAAGGAGTACTTGAGAGCTCATTTGTTGCTTAAGAGAAAATTACTTGCAGTTAGCCTGGTTTTAAAATAAAATGTTTTCATTTTCATTGTTCTTGCTTTATAAACTCTTGCTGTTTCAACAGTGTTTTTTACTTCTTATTAACCAAGAATGAATCCTATATTGCATTGAGGACATTCTTCACAGTGCATTGCTCCTGAACTACTTAGTGGAAGGTTTAGTGTGGGTTAATGCAGGAGGGTGTGCAACCACCGCTTGTGGGTTTCATGTTGCCTGCCTGGCTCCTATGGAGATTGAACCCTCACTGCAAACCTTCTATTTGTTGTATATGAGGCAGATTAGCTGGAAGGAGGAAGCAAGGAGAGAAGGGAAATTAAAAGAAGGCTGTCCAGGCAAGCACTTCCCAGGTTAAGGGAAACCCATCTACTGAACCAGTGGGGCCCCAGCTCCCCGAGGATAGACAGTGTTGGGAAGTAGACATCTGCTTTCAGGTTCACAGGCAGTGGAGAGCTGGACTCAGGCCTCTGCTGCACAGAGAGCTCCCTGAAGTAAACACAGCACAGAGCAGGTAAGTCAGCAGGAGGCTATGGCCAGTGGCTAAAGGAAAGTCCTGGAGCCCTTTCCAAATAAAGCAGGGGCTGTGGCATAGTGAGGAGTTGGTGAAAAACATGCTGGAAAATGTGCTATAAATGACATGGTCATTTTCATGCATTCACCTAATCTAAGTTCAAACAGTCACCTCCTTGATTAGACAATTCTTCTGTGGTATGTTAGAAAGAACCAAAGGATTGGATCCATGCTTTGTTTGTTTGTTTGTTTGTTCAAGACACAGTTTCTTTGTGTAACAGCTCTAGCTCCTGGAACTAGCTCTGTAGACCAGGCTGGCCTCAAACTCACAGAGATCTACCTGCCTCTGCCTCTGTCTCTCGAGTGCTGGGATCAAAGGTGTGTGCCACCACCACCAAGCAATGTATTTTCTTCTTAGTTGTCAACTTTCAGCAACTATTTGAAAGTTGGGGCAATTGTATAATCCTTTGATATCACCAGAGAACAGTGAGTGCATAGCAGGTTCCAGGTGTGGTCTTGTGTCTGTCAGATATAAGATCTAAATAAGGAGTTCCAGCTAGTCTTCCTGAACTGAAGGAAGAGGGAGGACAGGACATCTATTTTCCCCTGACTTCCTCTTTCTAAGCCCTGAAACTCTTCATGAACGCACCGTCACTGTGGTAGGCTGTTGACTGGTACCAACCACACCTATGTTCCTCATTGCAAAAGAGATAACTCAGCACCATGAGAGAACCAATTTTGAGCTGCCATGGGAGCAAATGAGGATCCCTTCCCCAAAGAGGGTCTAGAAGTCCACCCTTCAGCCCACCTCAGAGTGCTTTATGGGGTGTTGTTTTCCCCATCTATTTATACAAACCCTACACCGCACATAGAGGTAATGCTGGGAGCAGTATGAATTCTACAGTATCTGAATGATTGCCAGAAGAAAGTATGGCTGAACCAAAAGACAATTACATAAGAGGGAAGATTAAACTTGATTTCTAGTGATGGAAGAAGAGGCTGTGTGAGCAGGTAAAACTAGTTTTAAAAGTGTACTTCTTCATTCCTGAACTATGTGCACATTATGCAAGTCAGACCTACCACACAAATGAGTAACTTTTTATGTCTGCTTGAACTTGAGCTGTGCATTTTCAACTTTCAATCCTATTGGGTTGGTTTCCTTATGTCTTTATTATTATCATTCCAGATTCGACCGCTGTTTTCCAGACCCAATTATTCTGCTGGAGAAATCATATTATCCCTTTAGAAGAGCAGATTGAGTTCCCCTTATTTCCAGTTGTTGGGGTAAGGCATCTTACAAATAATATTAGTTCAAACCTAGTGACTAAAGATTGTGATAAGGGGGTGGGAGGGTGCCTGACAATTAGAAAGGGTTCGTCCTGCTCATGGTGCTAGACAATGAAATTTTAATGATTTGAGCAGAAAACAACAAAACAAAGTCCCTTCATTGTGGCATTGGCAGGTTAGAAAAGGAAACAGGCAGTATCCAGTAATGACAGGAACACACTGAGTATGGCACCTGTGTCTATAAAATCAGATCATGTGTGGCCTTCACCTGGTCCTAAGATTGGAGAAGGAGTGAATCAGCAGAGGGTCTAGTGCCAAAACCTCAGATTTGAAGACTTGCAGGTTAAAATGGAGTTTACTGGGCAAAGGAGAAGAACAGGGCGAGATCATAGTGGTTAGGAAGAGGAAGGCTGCCATCAGCTAAGGGACTGAAGGAAGCATGCAGAGGAAGAAGAAGGGGCTTGAGGTAGAAGGGGCCTGGCCTTGAGTGATTAGCTGGGTTAGGGTTCGATAAAGAACCATTTTATATATGGCAGAAAGGGAGGGAGAAAAGTTTTCCATGTTTGTTTTTGAAAGCTTTAACAACAAGCATAATAGTGGGCCTCAGAACAGAGGCAACACGTTAGAGAAAAGGGGGAGTCTGGGGAAAGCTGCATATCCTCTGAGCCAAGCCACTGTTGCATCTGCTTGCTGAAGGATCATCTTAGCTGGGCTTCTTAACACTTTCCAGCCCACCATGGAGAGGTACTGAGAGTCAAGTTGACCCCCAGCTGAGTATCCAGCTGCTCCCTACCGAATATTGTATGAAACTGCCTTAACTTCACATGGCCCCAGGGAGGGCTAGTGTATGTATAGATCAGGAAAGACTAGGAGAAGCTCCACCCAGGCAGTTACGAAGAAGCCATAATTCTTGCTGGGAAAAAGCTTGCCAATTGTGGCCTTTTATTGGGTGAGTGTTGTAATCCAGGCAAACCTGGCCCTGCCTCTCACCCACATGTACATGGAAGGTTAAATCCTCTGGCTCTTTAAAAGAAAGGTTCCACCCACTTCCGTTTTCTTCCCTCCACCCCCAAGGGACAGACAGGATTTTTCTTGTCTCTTCCCACCTCCCCTTCTTGTCCCCTCTCTGTCACTGTGTCTCTTTTCCTCTCTTCTGTTTCCTTCCCTTATTTCCTTACCTCCCCCTCAATAAAACTTTCATTATGAGTCAAGTCTACAGGTCTGTTTCCCCATCTGCCAGCTGTCAGTCCCTCACATGCTCACACTGCCAGCAGGACAGTTGTACTGGGACTGCCACCCTGGCACCACTTTATTCTTAACAGTGTGTGTGTGTGTGTGTGTGTGTGTGTGTGTGTGTGTGTAGGAGTACCCACACTCCTGTACATAACCCTTTACCTATGCTTGTAAAGTAGCCAATAGATTCATTGGTTCTCCAAAGAGAATCTTCACAGAATCACCTCTTGTTTTTGTCACTGGGACCCTAGAAAGAGGGGCAGACGTTGTTTCCCCCAGGAAATGAATTTTGGCAACACCTCCCAACATACAAAAATATTTCTTCTCATTGTAGGAGGAAATATGAGGAGAAAGACCCTGAAGTGTGACAGCAGGCCTCTCCACCCTCTTCAGGAGACCTGACAGCACATCGGTTCTTGTTAGGCTTTTAACCCACAAGTAAACAGCTGAAAGAGTTTATATAAACATTTCTTTTGGGAGTGAGGGGATGTT